GCTGGATTTTATGCTTTACTTCCATAAATTGCAGGATCTTCTTTGCCAGAAGATTTAAACTTTAAAAGCCTTGCCCTCATAATTTGCAAGTTAATTTATTTATAAAGGCTATTTTAATTATTGTGATCAATTTGCGCCGTCAATCCCGGCGCATGCGCGCTTCATTTGCAGTCTGGACGCTGAAACATCCTGCTGCTCTGACTGCAGCGCTGAGAGGGACTCCTGCGGGAGGACGGGGTTGGGATGGGGGAGGCGCCCCGTGGCAGAGTAGGAACAATACATGCTTTCACGTAAGAGTCTCCAAAAGCCGCCAGTGACATCGTAAAAAGTGGCCAGATTTGTCGCTAGTCGCTTTTTTTTTTTTTTATAGTCGCTGAAGGGGTCTGAAAAGTCGCTAAATATAGCGACAAAGTCGCTGAGTTGGCAACACTGCGCACATACAGCGCTGGCTCACTCTGCCGTAATTTTTTTTCTTCCCCATTTCAATCAAGTGGCAGTGATAACGGCGGCGGCGGATGACGAAATCGATGATGAAATATGTTGCCAACGCTTTTAAAAGTCGATTTTTATCGATTTTATCCATTCGTTGTTGCAGCCCTAATAAGAATAACATAATAGTGCAGAGTTAAAAGATAAACAATAAAACACTGCACTATAAAGTGTTATATATAAATATAAAAACTGTGCACCTGGAGAATAAATAACCAATATACAGCTATGGACATTTTTACAGTAATGGATATTACTATATAAGGATACTGTGTATCAAATAACAAAATGTGATGCTGAGATCATAAAAAGATAGTCAGGAATAGTTAACTTTTAAATTATTTGGTAGTTACNCTCCATTATTTGAATGTCAGCAGACAGCAAGAAGCCTCCCAGATCTCCAGATGCATTTGAGATATCAAAAAAGTACTCCAGGGTGTTGTTCAGCATGGGGGTGAGTAGAAAATGAAGGCTAATCATGTTTTGGGTGTACTATTCCTTTAATCAGGATGATTGATTTATCAAACTGCATAAAGAAGCAGGAATATTTCACCGCCTTTCATGCATCTGCATCCTTTTTAGACTAACTACCAACACAATGCTTCTCTTGCGTCTTCTTCTTTTGTTCTATCAAGTTAAAAACATGGCAACAACATGCTTTGGTATTATGTGCTACATTCTTTTACATAATTTCTTTGGTAAAAAATATGATTAGGTTAGATTTTCTGTTCTAATGGGAAAGCAAAATCAAGATCTTGGCATCTATTCAAAGGTCAGATAACAAGGAGAACATTGAAAGGCCTTAATAGCATCTTGGAGTCGACCAAACCTCACATTCAACTCCATCTCCAACACCTGCTGCTGTGTTCACGCTATTTCAGAGTGGAACTTTAATTAGAGATGTACCCATATTTTCTCAGCAAATATCTTTCAGGTTTTTCCTATATCATGTGAATAGAGGAAGGTAAAACCATTATCACCCTAAGGAATAGCTCCTCAAAAAGTAGCAGCACATATTTGGGGGGGGGGAACAGTTAGACTGATGTCATAATAATGGTTATCGGCTTTTTAAAAAATACCCGTATCTATCCAAACCTAGCTTTAATTAATTCTTTTTATGCTATTTCACAAACAAAGTTAAAGGTGGCTAGCATTAACCTCGCTACCTTAGGGCGGCGAGTAAGTAAGAGCAAAGCAGACCCTTCGTCTTTCAACCACGCCTAGATTTAGACTTAAACAAAAGAAGGAGAGACATTTCTAGTTTGCATTTAAATTTTTTAGCCTTGTAGAGATTAACTAAGAGATTTTATCATAACTGACCCAACTTTGACAGTAAATCAGATCAAAGTTTATTTATGTAGCGCTTTCCAACAACACCAGGAAGACCAAAGTGCTTCACAGAAAGATAAAAACATTGCCAAAAAAAGTGGGAATGGATTTGTACAATTCCTGCCCAGAGCAATGCTAAGAGTTGTTTGTTTAAATATTTTAGGGCTGGGACTTGCCATTATTTTGCAAAAAGATAATTTTTTTGTTTGATCAATTACTAATCAGACAGCAAATGATTCCTAAAGAAGAAAACTTTTTACGAAATTAAACTAGGTGTTAAACCAGGATAAAGCATTTTTAATCTTATATGCAAAATGGTTTTTTTGCTGCTCTCTGTCCGCTAAAGGCATATTTTAGATTCTCTATACTCCGGTTAAGGATTAATCGATTACTAAATTAGTAGACGATTATTTCCATAATCGATTAATCCTGGTTACTTTTTTTTAAGCCCTAATATATTTTATACACTAATAACAGTGATACAAGAAATGATGTGTAAATCCCTTTACTGTCCCACAATGAGGAGCAGTGGGCTGCCACTGTGCGGCGCTCAGGGAGCAGTGTGGGTTGTAGCTCAGGAACCCAGAGTGCAGGCTGTGGGGATCGAACCAGGTACTTGCAACCTTCTCAAAGCACATGTCTCTAACCACTAGACCAACACTCCCTACAGTAGCGTTAGCAGTAATAGCATTAGAAATTCTTTGATGGATCAGTAGTGATGGGTTAATGAGGCATCTTTAAGCGTTTTCACTCATTGCCAAACTAGTGATGCTGAGTTGATACTGTCTCACAGAATACTGACCCCTGCTGGACATTTAAAGACACTACAGGCACTTTATTGGTCAGACCAAACTAAATTGATCTGATCACCGAGTACAATGATATAATTTAAGTTATTGTAGGTTATATTGTATTACTACTTATCTATGTTTAAATTGAAAACATCTTTGATATTTTCAAATGCAGCCAATAAATAATGTAAACATATAATGTCAAAATTTAGGGGGAAATGCGAATGAGGGTGATTGTGGACTAGGATTTTAAATAATATTTTTTAAACAATAAGGACAGTAAAAGCACTAAATAAACTGAGAGTCAAATTGAAATTAACTTTAATTCAAGTTGAGTGATAACAGAGGAAAATTATAAGATGAGAAAATCTTAAATTAATTAGATAAATCTTTTATTTTAATGAGAAAATTACAATAAAAACGCAACGGCTGAAATGTTCCC